AGCCTAGGCATGGTGGGCTCACACCTGTAATCCAAGCACTCTGGGACACCAAGGCAGGAGGATCGCTTGAGCCCAGGAATTCCAGATCAGCCTGGGCAACATAGCAAGACCTCACCTCTATAAAAATTTTTTTAAAAGTTAGTCAATAGTGGTGGTACGTGCCTGGGGTCTCAGCTACTCAGGAGGCTGAAGTGGAAGGATCGCTTGAGCCCAGGAGGTGGAGGCTGTGGTGAGCTTTGATCGTGCCACAGCACTTCAAGCCAGGGTGATAGAGACCCTGACTCAAAAAACAGAAGCCACATATTGTTCTTCACCCCTACATAATCCTTGCCTCCCAGACATCTCCCCACCCTCAACTGACATTTCATTTGGCATCCGATAGTTTTTAAATAGTTTCTGCAACCTATTCCTGAATAAAATCCATTTTTTTCTTTGTCAGTAGCTTTAGGGGGTAATAAATAGTTTTTGGTTCCATGGCTGCATTGTATAGTGACAAAGAAGTGTGGGTTCCAAGTGTACCCCCCACCCCCACCTGTGCAAATGGGACCCGACAGGAGATCTTTTGTCCCTCCATCCTTTTCTTCCCTCCCCCTCCTAAAATCCATTTTAAAGCATACAGAAATAATTAAGCAATAAGCAAATACAAACATCTGTTGAAATGTTTATTGATCAAAAAAATCTGTTTGAGAAAAAAATATGCACACTAAAGCTTTCTACAAGCAACTGATAGGAAAAGATCACTTTAGTGACTCCAGTTTTTAAAAATCTGAGAATAGCCAGATGGGGTGATTCACACCTGTAATCCCACCTTGGGCAGTGGAGGCAAAAGGATTGCCTGAGCCCAGGGGTTCGAGACCATCCTGGGCAACTTGGCGAGACCTCATCTCTACAATAAATCAAAAAATTAGCTGGGCGTGGTGGCATGTGCCTGTAGTCCCAGTTACTTGGAAGGCTGAGGCAGAAGGATCACCTGAGCCCAGCAGGTCGAGGCTATGGTGGCTGTGAGTGTGCCACTGCACTGCAGCCTGGGCAACAGAGTGAGACTCCGACTCAAAAAAAAAAAAAAATCTGGGAGTATGAAAGGAAATTATGGTTGATGTTTATAGAACACCCTTTACAGCGGGGGAAAAACCCAACTCTACAAATTGAGATGCAGGACTGAGAAAATCATCAGGTGAAGCGAGAGGAAAAAAATACTTATTTGAATTCCGTTTTCTGAAAGGAAAACTAGTATTGCAGAGTCATTTAATGAAAATTTGCAGTTTTACTGCAGATTCAGATAGCCGCTGACATGTACATGACAATCTTTAGATTAAACTCATAAATCATTAAATGACTGTCTCCAGGAAATTATGTATATCACAAATTTTGCTATTTTATCTATTTTTTTGAGTCAGAGTCTCACTCTGTCACCCAGACTGGAGCGCGGTGGCATGCTCACGGCCACTATAGCCTCGACCTGCTGGGCTCAGGCGATCCTTCTGCCTCAGCCTTCCAAGTAGCTAGAACCACAGGCATGCGCCATCATACCTGGCTGATTTATTTAACTTATTTTTGAGTTGGAGTCTCACTCTTCCACCCAGGCTGGAGTGCAGTGGTACAATCATGGTTCACCATAGCCTCAATCTCCTGGACTCAGGCGACCCTTCTGCCTCTGCCTTCCTAGTACCTAGGACTACAGGTGTGCACTACTACACCTGGCTAATTTTTTTTCTTTTTTGTAGAAATGAGGTCTGTTTATGTTATCTAGGCCGGTCTGGAACTCCTGGGTTGAGGCAATCCTCTCACCTCAGCCTCCCAACGTGCTGGGATAACAGGTGTTTGCCATTGCTCCCAGCCTCTTGATCCTTTTGAGTAAGATATGTCTTTTTAGATAATTAACACTATTGGATATTAGTCCCTGAAAGAAAATGTGTATTTGACCCTGTATTCTAGGAAGAAAAAAAAATAGCCAAAGAAAAGTGACTGCAATCTAATTTCCTAGAGATTTTTAGAAGCTTTACCTGTGAATACTGGTACCATACAGCTATTATATAAATATTTTCTTCCAACTTAAATTCTCTCTTAGGAATGTCTTTAGTTTGGGGTAAGAAGTCCAACAAACTGTTTAATGTCGGATGTTAACATCTACTAAGCAAGATATCCTTGCTTCTTTTTCCACAAAAGCCAAATAGAAAACAAAGCATGTTACTAACATTTTTCTATTTATTCATTAAGAAAAAGTGCATAGTACAAGCCCTTTATCCCAATCCAAGTACTCAGCAAAAGATTAACAATAAACCCTGGATGGCACAGACATGATTTGTTTGGCATGATCTAAACATATAAAAACAGTGATTAACATGTAGTACATCACATGACCACTTTTGCTTTTAACAAAGTAATCATCAGACATAACAAATACATATGATTTTTCATTTAGAAACATTTTAAGAAGACAATTTACTATTGCAACAACAAAAATTTAACCCATTAACTGTAAACTCTCTTTATTTTTCCTCCTTCAAGTTGCTGTTTTGAGGCTTCACTGAGTTGGTCAAATTTGAGCACACATTTGTTTAGAGTGACAGGCTTTCATTTATAGTGACAGACTTCCAAGGTTTCTTTGCAAATTTAAGATATTGGTAATTCCATAAACACTATGACATCACATACCCCAAAGACACTAAAAGTAACCATGGAATAGCTGTATTCAATTTTTATTTTGGAAAATTTCGCCAAGTTGTAAAATATGACTTGCTGGCCATGGGATAGTACTTGGATAGATAACGTGATAAAATATTTTACTATAAACAGTTTTAACGTTATCCTTTTTTGTACAGAAAGCAAAAAATAAGTCAAGCATGGTGACGCATGCCTATCAGCTCAGCACACTGGGAGGTAAAGATGAGAGGATTGCCTGAGCTCAGGTGTTTGAGACCAGCCTGGGCAACTTGGCGAGACCTCATCTCTACAATAAATTAAAAAATTAGCCGGGCTCGGTGGCTCAGCCTGTAATCCTGTGCCTTGGGAGGCTGAGGTGAGTGGATTGCCTGAGCCCGCGGGTTCGAGACCCACCTGGGCAACTCGGCAAGACCTCATCTCCACAATAAATCAAAAATTAGTCAGGCGTGGTAGCGCGCGCCTGTAATTCCAGGTACTTGGAAGGCTGAGGCGGAAAGATCGCCAGAGCCCCGTGGGTCGAGGCTGTGGTGGCCAGGAGCGGCCACTACACTCCAGTCTGGGCGACGGAGTGAGACTCCAACTCAAAAAAAAAAAAAAAAAATTAGCAGGGCATTGTGGCAAACGCCTGTGTTTCCAGCTACTTGGAAGGCTGAAGCAGAAGGATTGTGTGAGCCCAGCAGGTCAAGGCTGTGGTGGCCATGAGCGTGCCACTGCACTCTAGCCTGGACAACAGAATGAGACTCTGACTCAAAAAATAAAAATAAAAGGATTTGTAGCCACAGTTCAAGTGAATGTTTAACGAGCCAAGTAATGATTTAAAGTGTGTGCTCAATAAAAAGGTCACATGTAGAAGATTTAGGAATTAAACAGAATAATATAAATTACTAGTTAGGTAAAGAATGCTTTATGTGTAGTACACTGTCTCAGGAATGCAGAAAAATTTTACAAGCAAAAACCCCAAGACTAAATACTTCACTGAGAACATTTGTTGCTTACTAAATAGAGGATGCATGTAGGAAAAAGGCAATATACTTAAATGTAATGTCAATTAAGTGTATGTGACAGGCTGAACTTAAGAATTAGAAATAAGAATCCAGATTTTCAGGTGTTGAATACTAGACATTCTGTATTCATGTTTCGGCCACTTCAACCAAAGCCAGTTCTCTATTTGTGAGCTACGTCAGTATCTCTGCCTGGGACTGGCTTACTAGCAGCTGAGAGAACAGATTGCTGGAATATATGGGCAAGGCTTCCAAGTTCAAGGGATAAGGGCAGATGAAGGAATACTGCAGGGATTCAGCTCTCCTTATGCCATTCTGGCCCTTTCTGCTTTAAGTACTTTAGCAACTCTAAGGCTATGAAGGCTTCCAGTAGGCTACAGCAAGAGGAAAAGACTTTGCTCTGTGGAACTCATCTATTCAGGATTTCACTTAGCTGGGTTATGTTACTCCTCTACTGGCACAAGTAATTGAGAGTTGGTTATATGATTTCAAGACGCTGAGTACAAATCCAAGATGCACAAGAAGAATTCAAGCAATTTTGGATTGTATAATGATCTTATGCCCTTAAGATGTTCATGGCCTAGAATATAATCATAATACAGGGGAAAAAATGCCCTATGAATGTCACAATTGTATCAGAGACCATTAAACAGTACTGTGATGTTTATTCAATTCATAGAAGCAATGCCTCAGACCTGTGAATAGCAAGACTGACCTCAGGAAAAGAAAATCCTTACATTGGCAACAAAATATCTTCTAGTCCCCATAAATCATCTGCAATCACTTGCTAGGAAAAACTTCCATAACACATAGGTCATGCAGACATTTCTTTACGTTGCTGGCATTCACTCTTTTTCAAATTGAGCAAACCAATTCAACACTTTACTTTTTGTACACTTAAAAGCTTCACTTATATTAATGTCCCTTTCCATCCCAATCCATCCCATTACCAAACAGAAATGAGAAAATAAGAAGTGAGAAAAAGATGCTTGACTGTTTCTCATTTTCCTCTGTTTCCCTTGGAGTAAACCAATAATTCATTAAAAATTTTTGTGAGTCAGAAGGATAACAAAAGACGCAATGCAGTGAGTAAGTATGCAAATAGGCATTCAAATGTTGGTAACCTAACATGCCCTAATACGGCTTTTAATATTTTCATTTTAATGGGGAAGTATCAAAACAGAAAAGCAGCTTCCTGAGAGGCACTCATTTTAAAATAAAGTATAGCTTAATTTATTATTGTAGAGATTATACTGAGCAAAGGCATAAGTAATTAATTTTTTTCTCCTTTCATAAACGTTGAAACATGTCATATAATGGACTGTAAATCATCCACCATATTTATCAATTATGTTTATTTAAAGTTTTTTTAACGCTAGACATTTTTAGTGGGTATAAAAAAATTAGTAAACAACCATATCATTTCTTCTCTCCTTCTATTCTAGCCACATAGCCAGCTGTAATGGATGATACAGATTTCAGCTGTAATTTATAAAATATTCTAAGAGCTGCCACAATCCCAAGAACTACAGAAAACTGCCACTTAGAAATAAACTATCAAGGTAAATGAAAATACAGTGTGGTTCTAATTTTCTTTCATACAAGCCCAGACAACCCCAAACAACTTTATAAATACCTTATGAAAAAGCAATTTAAAAACCTATCAAAACTGTTCAAAATATTTAAGTGCAGAGCTCTCAAATTTCCTTCAATCAGTCCACAAATCATCACAAAAATTATGATCACAGTTACAAACAAAATGAGTGGAATGTTTAAGTTTAGGACAACCAAAAAAGCCCCATGTAACTTTTTAAAATATAATCATTTACTCAAATATACTGTAAATAGGAATAGTGATAACGCAGGAAGCAAAAATAAGCTTGCAAGTGAAACTTCTAGAAGCTCATGAAAACAATACCATCCTATATTGCAGATGCAAAAGGAAAAACAGTTTTAAAGGGGTTAAGAGTACTCTGGTCATCTTCGTTCATTTGGTCGTGCAAGGTGGTAACTATTTTCACTTCCCAGATCATACAGTTAGTCCACGGGAGGAGCTGGTGGATCTTGTCCCTGGCATTAGGAATAAACAGATTATTTAACTGACTTTTTAAATCCCAGTGCAACCAATCTGACACAGTGAGAACTGAGCAGTAATGCCCTCCACCCTCCCATCCCAAGCAAAATACTGACTTGGACTTTACATATGTTTTTACATCAGGGAATGTTAGGTTAACACGTGTGATTCTCCGACACTTGTCTAATGATGGAAAAAATGGAATCTGTGTTAACAGTGATGCGATCCCCCTGCTAGCTCCAAGGGTGGACTTCAAACTCATAAAGGTGTTTTCACCCCTCTGTTCATCCAAAATGAAGCTAGAGACTTCTGTTTCTCACAACGTGATGTGAGCGAGAAAGCATGCAGCTCCAGCTGCTTCTGGAGTCATCCTAAGACCCCAGAGGGAGCCCACCCTGGAATGAAGTTGATAGTATGAGGAAACCAAACAGGGTTTTTTATGACACTGTTAAACTTTCTTAACACTGACCCCTGATGTGTAAACTAACAAAGCCTCTTGTTTTAAACCAGCTCAAATTGGTTTTTGCTACTTGCCATAGAAAGCATCTGTACTGTAAAGGAACGATCAGAGCTTTTAGGAATCTCCAGGAAGATTTATTTATCCTGACATGATATTTGAGGCCCTAGTTGAGGGTGACCAATATTTTGACTTAAAATTTGAGTCAATATGTTTTCTCACTGATTCCTAGGGCCATGGGACCACTACTCCTACAATAAATTAAGGTCCTTGCATTTCTGTTTCTCTTAATGGCTTCTAAGACAGATTATTACAAGCCGGATTTCTATAGCTCCAAACGTTGAGGAAATTGCTTTTTGATATGAAAGTAAGTAAGAAAAAAGGCTAAGGAGGAAACACTTTTATCAGGACAACATGTAAGCAGCTTTACAGACTCCCATCTCCAAGAAAACCAAAAGAAAATTTGTATATAGTGCTAATGATATAGTCTTCTTAAAGTCAGCATGTCACATATCTAAGAAAAATATGAATAGCAGTTCTGGAAAATGACCAAGCATTTCAAAGAAAAAAAATACTGGATCTAAGTAGGGTTAAAAGGAATCTTTTAATGGAGAGTCTGTTAATGATAGTACTAAAACCTGTTGGATCACTTTAGCACATTTTTCATTTAGAAGGTACTAAACATTTTTGGAATCTTGACTATTTGAGATTTATCAACATGAGTGATTCTTACCTCTCCTTTTGCCAGCTCAGTTGCATTATTGGGATGTGGAAATGGAAAGTGAGTTTGAGAGAAACAGGATGGGAAAACAAGAAAAAACAAAATTTAGCCAGCTAGGCTGTGTCTCTAGTGTACTAAATAGCAGGGCAGAAGGGGTGAGACATTTGAACTGAGGACACTAAGAGCATACAGGCTGGAAATAGGAGAGGCAAGAAGTGCCTGTGAGTGGGTAGAACTGGGCGATAGAGGAATGAGATTTAACAATATTGCTTTGGATTATGAAAGGGACCATTCTGATGTTTCTCATGTGTAAAGACTGGAATTTATTTTAAAATTAATTTTGAGCTACCAGTCTGTGTTTCTATATTTAAGCCTACAAAGATTAAGCCATTTGGGACTGCAAGATTTAATAGAATGACATAAGAAAAACTTACTCTATGAGTTAAATGTTCCTTTTGCCCATTTTGATTATTTCAGTTAAAACAAATCTCCCCGCCCTCCTGGGCCATATGCATGCCCGTCCCCAAGAAGATTTATAATCCATAACACTTACATTATGTGGACTGGTTGGCTTTCCAGGTAGACTGGATCCTCTTAGATTCGGAGGTCTCAGTAAGAACAAGATCACTGCAACAACCATCCAAGCCATCAAGATCATAGTAACACTAATGTCATTATCACCAGAGGGTCCTGGTACTAAAAATGAACAAAAATGAAGCATGATTATAATACTGTTAAATGTAAAATTCTAATGTTTGTTAGCTTCAAAAATTGTATTAAAACTGTATTAATAAATTAGAGAAGTATATATTACTTCTTCTGCTTTCTTTTTTTTGAGACAGGGTTTCACTCTGTCCCCAAGGCTGGAGTACAGTGGCATGATCCCAGCTCATTGCATCCTCAGCCTCCTGGACTCAAGTGATCCTCCCACTTTAGTCTTCTGAGTAGCTAGGACTACAGGTGTGTACCACCATACCTGGTTAATTTTTTTTTTTTTTAGTTGGAGTCTCACTCTGGCACACTCATGACCACCCCAGCATCGACCCACTGGGATCCAGTGATCCTTCCACCTCAGCCTTCCAAGTAGCTGAAACTATAGGCACACGCCACCACGCCCAGCTAATTTTTGATTTATTGTAGAGATGAGGTCTTGTCAAGTTTCCTGAGCAGGTCTCAAACCCATGGGCTCAGGCATCCACTCGCATCAGCCTCCCAAAGTGCTGGGATTACAGGCTTTAGCCACCACGCCCGGCCCAATTAAAAAAAAAAAAAATTTGTAGAGGTGGTGTCTCACTATGTTGCCCAGGCTGGTCTTCAACTCCTGGGCTAAAGTAATCCTCCCCTCTTCAGCCTCCCGAAGTGCTAGAATTATAGGCATAAGCCATCACACCTGGCCCATATTACATCTTCAAATGTCCTTTCCTCCAGTGAGAAAATCTAAATAGTATATGATGTTAAATAGTTATAAACCAAAACCTGTAAATGAAGACTTTTAAATAGTACAATAACTCTTAATATTTTGGGTTAGCAGAATCCTTTGAGAATGGGATAAAGATTAAGGACTCTTTTCATTATAAGCATCTATGCGGTTGTGCTTGGTGGCTCAACTTGCAATTTCAGCACTTTGGGAGGCTGAGGTGAGTGGACTGACTGAGTCCACGGGTTTGAGACCAGCCTGGGCAAACTGGTGAGACCTCCTCTCTACAATAAATTTTTTTAAAAAATTAGACTGACGTGGTAGCACACGCCTGTAGTTCCGGCTACTTGCACGGCTGAGGCAGAAGGATCACTGGAGCCCAGCAGGTCGACACTGGGGTGGCCGTGAATGTGCCACAGTACTCCAGCCTTGGTGATGGTGTGAGATTCCGACTCAAAACACAACAAAAAAATCCCAAAGAATCTATGTATATGCATTCAACAATTTTGTATATAATTGTGGAAGGTTCAAGGTCTCACAAAACTACCAATCCATAGATCTGCTGAGATCTACAGAACCCATGTATATAGTAAAATCATTGGTATATACTAAAAACATTCTCCTTTAGGGAAAAAAAATCTGCATCTTAATTACACAAGCAGCATGAAACAATAGGGTTTAAGGAAAGGGGAACCTCTAGGCTGCATAATATATAAACTAAAAGACCCCTTTCATTATATTCTTAACCAAAAAGAGATTAATTTGGCCTTTTTTACAAAAGATGTTGGACTCAAATCTAGATATTTTCTTTTTGAGTTGGAGTCTCACTCTGTCACCTAGGCTGAAGTACAATGGCACAGTCACGGTCACAGCTGCCTTGACCTTCTGGGTTCAGGCGACCCGCCTCAGCCTTTCAAGTACCTGGGACTACAAGTATACACTACCACGCCCAGCTAATTTTTTTGATTTATTGTGGAGAGGAAGTCTCACCATGTTGCCTAGGCTGGTCTCAAATCCCTGGACTCAAGCAATCCTCTCGCCTTCACCTCCCAAAGTGCTGGGATTTCAGGTGTAAGCCATTGCGCCCGGCCAGATCTAGATATTTTAAAAGTCTCTACATTCATCAAGGGAAAAAAGTTAGACAGGGGTGTATGTGTGTGTGTAGGTCCTAGTCTCTTCCAGCTCCTTGAGGTAGCCATCTCTTATTTAATCTAAAATAACACGTGCCTAGCAAAGTACCTAGCCCATGATATAGGGTTAACAAACTTCTAATAAATGATATATAAATATTTTATTGAGGTATATTAGAGAACTTTGAGAAATAAAAATTATAGATTAGATTTCTAAAGGAAAACACAGTATCTGTAGGTGGTTAGGAAAATGGCTTGTCAAGACTACAATCATTTGATTTTGGTCTCCCTGCCTCAGGAGTAAGTAAAAGAAATCCAGACAAGAGATTGATATTAATCTGATAGACTGCACTGGCATCCACTGGTCCAGGGATCAGTTTCAGGAAAAAGAAGGGCTTAGTGGCACTGCTGAGGTCAAAGGGCTGGTGACCAAAAGGGACAAAGTCAAGTTAGGAACTGAGCTGGTCCAACAGCAGGCTGGACAGGAATGTAGCCTCTGTTCCAACCCGTCACTTCCCTAGAAACATCTGCAGTACTCAGGGTCATCACAGTGACATTCCATGCCACACAGTGTGGCAGCATTCTGCTTTCTGTCTGTATATCCATTTCTTTCCTTGTTCCCACCTGTGTGTCAATGTGCCCACCTTCATAACTGGGCTGTTTCTCCACCTGGGCTTTGAGACCCATCACTCTTGCAGTTATCATTATCCTCTCCCCAGTGTATTCCATATCCACTTCTCCAATGGAGTCATCTCATTATCATTTACACATGATCAAGTTTCCCCTATCTCTGAAATAACAAAAACGCCCTCCCATCAAACCCCTTTTCCTGTCCAGCTATCACCCTTTCTCATCAAAGCTAACATCATAGCCAGGCATGGTGGCTCGTGCCTGTAATCCCAGTACTTTGGGAGGCCGAGGTGGGTAGACTGCTTGAGCCCAGAAGTTCGAGACCAACCTGGGCAACGTATTTAAAACCTAGTCTCTACAAAAAAAAAAAAAAAAACTAGGCAGGTCACCTGAGCCTAGCAGGTAGAGGCTGTCGTGAGTTGTGATCGTCATGATTGTACCACTGCACTCTAGCTTGGGTGACAGAGTAAGATCCTGACACAAACAAACAAACATACATACACACACACACACACTCTCTCTCTCTCAAAAGGCTGGGTGCAGTGGCTAATGCCTATAATCCCAGCACTTTGGGAGGCCAAGATGAGAGGATTGCCTGAGCCCATGGGTTTGAGACCAGTCTGGACAACTTGGCGAGACCTCATCTCTACAATTTAAAAAAAGGGGGCGGGGCTCAGTAGCTCAGCCTGTAATCCCAACACTTTGGGAGGCCAAGGTGAGTGGACTGCCTGAGCTCGAGTGTTTGAGACCAGCCTAGGCAACTTGGCAAGACCTCGTCTCTACAATAAATCAAAAATTAGCCAGGCGTGCTAGCGTGCGCCTGCAGTTCCTGCTACTTGGAAGGCTGAGATGGAAGGATCGTTAGAGCCTAGCAGGACAACGCTGGGATGGCCGTGAGCGTGTCACTGCACTCTAGCCTGGGCAACAGAGTGAAACTCTGACTTAAAAAATAATAATAAGCTAACACCCTTGCAGTTGCCTTACATTTACTATCTACATATCACTACCTCCTGTTCACTCCTCAGGTCACTTTCCAGATCCACCATTATTCAAGTAGCTCTTGAAAAGGTCACCTATAAGCCAGGTTCGGTGGCTCAGCCTGTAATCCCAGAGCTTTGGGAGGCTGAGGTGAGTGGATTGCTTGAGCCCACGGGTTCGAGACCCACCTGAGCAACTTGGAGAGACCTCATCTCTATAATAAATCAAAAATCAGCTGGGCATGGTAGCACACGCCTGTAGTTCCAGCTACTTGGAAGGCTAAGGCAGAAGGATCACTGGAGACGAGCAGGTCGAGGCTGCGGTGGTCAGGAGCGGCCACTGCACTCCAGTCTGGCTGACAGAGTGAGACTCCAACTCAAAAAAAAAAAGAAAAGGTCACCTAATGACACCTCCATGCTGCTCAGTTTAACTGGTAATTTTTAGGCCTCATTTTCTATGACCATTTTCCCTTTTGAAAACACTTTCTTCCCTTATGTCATGACCATTGCCTGATTTTTCAAACACTTAGCCATTCCTTTACATGATCCTTTTCCTCTTTTACATTTTGGAATTCCTCGTAGTCAACTTTAAGTTCCCTCTCTTCTTGGTCCATCCAATCCCATCACCTGAAGCCTCATCTCCCTTCGGTATGCAGACCACCCCCAGCTCTTCTGAACTCCAGACCCAAACACCCAACTGTCTACCTACATCAGTACTTCTTTTTCTTCACATCAACAGTTTTTGAACTATGACACAAATTAGACTTGACAGAATCAGCAGGGCTCTGTGGCTCAGCCTGTAATCCCGCGCCTTTGGGAGGCTGAGGTGTGTGGATTGCCTGAGCCTGTGGGTTCGAGACCCGCTTGGGCAACTTGGCGAGACCTCACCTCTACAATAAATCAAAAACTAGCTGGGCGTGGTAGCGCGCACCTGTAGTTCCAGCTACTTGGAAGGCTGAGGCAGAAGGATTGCCAGAGCCCGGCAGGTGACAGAGTGAGACTCCAACTCAAAAAAAAACCCAGAAATCCCACTTCCCATTTAACATACACAATACATGAGTATTCCAAAATAAAATCATGGACATTTCGCCTGCCCTCTCCCTGTCCACTCCCACCAAGCTGGGTCTCCATTCATCCATGTCAGGGCAGAAACCTAAAAGAACACCTTTATTCTTTTAACAGCTCTCTATTTAATCCATTATGAGATTTCTGGTAATTTTTCCTCCTAAATATTACTCAACTCTGTCTACTCCTAGCTCCATACCCCACCTGCTAAAGCTACCACCAACTCTTGTGTAGTCTACTATGGTAATGGTCCCAAAGGGATCTCCCCAGATCGGCTCCTGCCTCCTCCGTCCTCCACACTGTATCCAGAGTGATTTTTTTTTTTAAAGTAAATCTACATTGAATATCCCTTACCTGAAATGCTTGGGACCAGAAGTGTTTCAGATTTCGATTTTGTCATATTTTGGAATATTTGCTCTGTTCTTATTGGTTTAGGATCTCTAATTAAAAATCCAAAGTCTGAAATGCCTAATGAAC